TGTGTGTGTGTGTGTGTGTGTGTGTGTGTGTGTGCTGTTAAGCCTGAGTGGTCTGTTTGACCTTTGTAATTGTTCAAATAATTGTTATGGTCAGGTTACAATATAAAAATGTTTGTTATAATCATGTCTTGTGATTATTTGACAGGAGTTTTCCTTTTAAACTGTAAGTGTATTTAATTTAGTTATGTTAGTTATGATAGTTTAGTTATGCTGTAAAATACAATAAAAATTAAACCAAGATTTATAATAATTATCATTTTGATCCATACATTGGTAATGTCTGACTGGACCTCGTGTCACTTTATGTTCAACAAATTGGGCCCCGAGGTCAAAAAGATTAAGAGCCCCTGTTTTAGACCACACATGCTCCCCAGATAGCCAACTTCTGTAGATTGGCCCTCAGGATCTTTGGGCTTGGCTAATCCAGAATAACGATTAAGAGCAGAAATTTTACTAGTATTTATTAAATGAGTTTGCAGCTTTTTAAAAATAAAAATAACAGAACATGAAAAGGTCTGCAATTTTTTTTGAATTAGTTGAATCCCATGTATCTGTACCTAACATGTCGAGTCATAAAATCAATTTCAGATACCTGGAATGTACACTGAACAAAAATATGAATGCAGTACTTTTGTTTTTGCTCCCATTTTTCATGAGCTGAACTCAAAGATCTAATGCTGCCTTCACAGGAAACACGTTTTGAGCATCAGGGGCATCAGGTTTACATGCAAAGTTTATGGTGGATTTGCATTAAGGAACTTCGGAAAGTGCTGCGGCATATCTAGCATGGCACATTTTAATGATTGATACATGATTCGCACGTCAAATGCAGGAGTTGGAAAATCTGAACTTTTACAGGAGCTCTTTAGCTGAAATTGAGTGCCTGTAGTCGGTGACCTGGCAGGAGATATCAGCACCGATGCAGGTCAGCGGCTCGTCAAACTGGACTCTGGACAAGAATAGAGCTGAAAGCGAGCCTCGTCTGCTCACAGCTCCTGGTTGATGAAACTCACCAAACTCAGATCATCTCTGAATTATCTGGTGAATTAATTATAAATTATTTATCTGGTGAGTGCGATGTTCTCATGCTCTCAGTAAAATAAATCAAAGCCACATCCTTTGCTTCATCTGACATTAAACAGAGACCGGCAGAGGAGGCTCTCAATGCACATCAAGAGCAGTTCTGACAAGTGTCTGACCTCAAAGTGCACAAGCGTCCAACTTGGTGTTGGACGCATTTTTCACGTCCAATTTGCAAGTGGTGTGAACGCAGCATAAGATTTTTTCTATGTACACGATAGACCTTGTTCCTTCAAATATTGTTCAGAAATGTGTGTAAATCTATGTTAAAGGGGCTCTTCTTCTTTGCAGAGATAATTCACCCCACCTGGCACATGTGGCATTAAGACGCTGCTTAGACAGCATGATGTGTACAGGTGTGCCTTAGGCTGGCCACAATGAAAGACCACTCTGTAATGTGCTGTTTATTACACAGCACAAAGCCACAGATGTTGCAGGTTCTGAGGGTGTATGCAATTGGCATGCTGACAGCAGAGATGTTGACCAGAGCTGTTGCTGTGAACTGAATGTTCATTCCTCTACCATAAGCCGTCTCCAAAGGCATTTCAGAGAATTTGGCAGTACAATCAAAGAACACATGTAACCACACCAGACCAGGACCTCCACATCCAACATAGTCACCTCCAAGATCATCTGAGAGCAGCCACCTGGACAGCTGCTGAAACAATTGGTTTGCACAACCAAAGAATTTCTCCACAAACTGTCAGACTGTCTCAGGGAAGCTCATCTGCATGCTCGTCATCCTCATCAGGTTCTCGACCTGACTGCAGTTTGTTGTCATAACCAACTTCAGTGGGCAAATGCTCACAGCCAGTGGCGTCTGGAACATTGGACAGGTGTGCTTTACACAGATAAATACTGTTTTTACTGTTCAGGGCAGACAGCATGTGTGGCAGTGTGTGGGTGAATGGTTTCCTGATATCAATGTTGTTGATTGAGCGGCCCATGGTGGTGGCAGGGTTATGGTATGGGCAGATGTATGTCATGGACATAGAACACAGGTGCATTTATCAATAACTTTTTAAATGCACTGAGATGCCGTGATGAGATCCTGAGGCCGATTATTGTGTCTTTCATCCAACATCTCATGTAGCGAGGATCTGTACTCAATTCCTGGAAGCTGAAAACATCCCAGTTGAGGCTTGGCCAGCATACTCCCCAGACATGTCATCAAACGATGAGAGGCAGGAAGGAGGGGGCGAAGTTTAGAAATGTTACGGAGTTGAAAATAGCATGAGGTAACTAGATTTTTGACGTGTTTATCTAGTGACATGTCTGAATCAAAATTGACTCTTAGATTTCGTATGTTCTTTTTAACAGTCAGCTTCAGAGAGTCCAGTTGTTCTTTTATCTGAGGGATCTTATTTTCAGGTGCCAGGATCAGAGTTTCTGTCTTGTCACGATTAAGGAGTAGCAGGTTGTCAGAGAGCCATTGTTGACTTCTGTGATACAGTCTAAGAAAGAGATCAGCTTGTGGGAACTTGACTCGATAAAAGAGCAGTATAACTGCAGGTCATCAGCGTAGAAGTGGTCATGAAAACTGTCAATGATCTGGCTTAGGGGGCGGATGTAGAGGAGGAAAAGGAGGGGCCCCAGAATTGAACCCTGTGGTACGCCACACCTGAGTTGGGATGATTCAGAATAAGTTTGATTTTGAAGTACTGAGAAAGAGCAGTCGGAGAGGTATGAATTAAACCAGTTTAATACAGAACCTGATACCCCAATGTTTCTCAGGTTGCCTGGTAGAATGGTATGATCAAAAGAGAATCAATCATTTTGTTTTCTTCTAGTGAGCCTTAAAACCTAAAATGCCCAGCTGTCTAAAAACACACTCGGCACAAAGAAAAATTAAGTTTGTTTCTATTTGGTTTAATCCACTGAAATGACTTACTGTATGTAAAAAATATTAACTGTATTATTTCTGTGTTTTTTTAGCTCCTGGGTGGAGTTTTTTGTATGAGGTGTTTATTTTTATTTTGCATAGGTGTGTAAGAAATTTAGTGTTCAATACGGCTGAGGTCAATATTAAAACACCAGTGTTAAATAAAATGAATTGAGGAAGGAATAAACCACACAACCCCAGAATTCTGGAAGGTGAGTGAGATTTAAGCTGTCACCGAGCTGACAAGGAAAACCACACTGGCTATAACCAGGAAATGAATCCATTATATACAGAATCTTCAATGCCTGAGTTCGCCCCCTGCTGACCTACGGCTGAATCACAGGCATTCAGACAAAGACCTCACCCTAATGTTTAAAAACGGTTCACTTATGTGTTGTTTATAATTCGGACATGTATCTACTCTATTTCAATTAACACATAATAGATCAAACATTATACAAGTATTATAAAATAATGAAACCCTATACTCTGGTGTAGTTTTCTAATATCAATACTAATCTATCAATAACTAAATTTCTTCAATCCCACTTTTCACATGACCCAGTCATGTGAAAAGTGTATTTTTGGTATTATTTGTTAGGAGTGTATATTTTATTGCATGAAGTCTGGATTGCGTTTCACCTCAACCTGCATCAAGCCACCTGCACTTGCTTGTGAAGTCAAGCCTTCCTCCTTTCTCTTCTTGCTGGTGAAGCCAAGCTGGGAGCTCTTTATTTTTATTTTTATTGAACTCTGAACTATAGTGATTTTTAACACCACATTTGGACACTTGGGGGGGGGGGGTTGTTTGTATTATTTGTATTGTTGTATTTTGTTGTATTTTTTTGTAAATAATATCTTTGAAAAGAAAACTTCAGTCCCTGTCTGTGCTCACTTCATTTATTTACAATATTTTTTGTCACGTATTATTCAATTAAAGTTGAACAGGGTGTGTATTTGTGTTTTTATATACTTTACATGTCCTGGTGTGTCGGGTAAACTTAAACAACTCTGAACCATAGTATAAATCTAACAAACATTTTAATCTTGTCAAAAACATCCTGTATGTCAGGAGGAATACCTGACTGGCGCCAAACTAAATTACTCAAATTAATGGCAATAAAACCCATCAAACAGGTACTGTCACACCTGGAAGTCATTAAGGAACCAATCTTCAACCACTGTCCCAAGGATCTCTCACCAGCCACCAAGCCACTCTACCTGAAGATCATTACTTTACCAAAATCCTTCCTGTGGTCTGTGCTGCTCGCCTCCAAGCAAAAATAACTCATTACATTCTTATCTATGTTTGGAAAGAGTTAACATGACAAGCCATACTTTCTTCCGTGCATGCGTGGGTTTTCTCTGTGTCAGCAGTCTCTGTTAAGTTAACTGATAACTCTAAATAGTATCTAGGTGTGAGTGAGAGAGTGAATGTTTGTCTCTTTGTGTCCCTGTGATGGACTGGAGACCTGTCCAGGGTGGACCCCGCCCCTCACACTGTGACTGATGAACATCAGTGACCCTGACAGGAAGAAGCGGGTAAAGTTGATGGATGGTTGTTTCTGACAGGAAACATAAAGGTTGTTAAAGAATGAACCAAGCAGGAATCATAAGAATAACTCCATACAATCTTTATCTGTTGTTGGTGTTAAAAACTGCAGGATCATTCTTTAAAAACATGTTTAAATGAACATATTACTCTTTTACAGTAAGCTGCCTGGCTTATGTCCATGTGCAACACACACATTCCTTTCTCTGAGTAGACTTTTAGAAATTACTAATATTTATTTATCAATCAAATATCTGTCAAAAGACTCACCTCAGTGCAGTTATTGTTTTTTGGTTCTACAATAAGTGAGGTCTTTTCTGCCTAAATTCCACAACATAATTGTTTAGTGTAATTGGTGGGATCTGTCACACCAGAGTTTCTGACTCAGTAGGAACCTGCTGCTGAGTCAGCGCTAACTGAGCTGAATGTGGCTACACTTACAGTACCCATAGTTTAGAATTTCCTCAGGCTGATTCTCCTGTTGGTCTTCTGGCTTCCCTCTGGGATTCTGCTTCACAGCTGAAGATAATTAATTTTTAAAATTAAAGACAGTATTTTTTGTATGAAAGCATATTTAGACCACATCATTATGAGTAACTTACGAAATATCAGTATGTTATTCACAATTTCAAGCAATACTATGACCTCGCGTGATCTTAGTGCTGAAACTGTTTGTTGTGAATGACTCTCAGCTACTACCACACCACATTTTAGTTCAGTACATCACTGAGTTGTAGCCATTCTTGTCATTTGGCTCTGGTGGCCATCTTGAATCATGTTGGCTTCTCAGTTGTAAACGAGTTTCATTAAAACTCGTTCAGTTAGTAAGAGTACAGAGCAACAACCACACAGACACACACGTCCACCTTCAGCAGAGGCTGATATGTAAGTAAGTAAGTAAAGTTTTATTTATAAAGCGCCTTTCACAGAAATATATTCACAAGGTGCTGTACAATCATTAACAGTGTAAAAATGGTGGACTGAAAATGAAACAGAATAAAACAGAATAAAATATAAGCAATGAAATGAAACATGAAATCAGGATTAAATTCTAAAATTGTAACTCAGACACATGGTCAATGCAGAGCAAAATATACAAAGATACACAAAACATAGAGAATGTGGGAGAGAAAAATCTGCCGTATGTTCAATAATAGAAAAATACATGGTTGGTGAGCATTCACAATGGAGGTAGGGTGGCAGGAATGGTGAAATGGTTATCTAAACACTTTAGTAAAAAAGTGAGTTTTTAGGTGTTTCTTGAAGTAGACAAAGTTATTAATGGAGCACAGATTTACAGGGAGTTCATTCCAGAGCCTGGGGGCCACAGAAGAGAAGGACTGGTCACCACGGGTCTTAAAGTGAGTGAGGGGAACCATAAGGAGATGTTGATCCTGTGAGTGGAGGTCTCCTCTGGGGTTGTAAGGTGAAATGAGACTTTTAATGTATTCAGGTGCTTGGCCATGAAGAGCTCTGAAGGTCATTAAAACCAGTTAACAGTGATGGTCTAATAAACCAATAAAATCATCTGGTTTGTTTACATCAGCAGGACAGATGGGTCAAAAGAGGCAGAGAAAGTGACAAGAGCCAATAAAAGACCTAAAAAAGGGACGAAGACCTGACCTTAATAGTCTGTGATTCAAAGGATGAAAAAGTCCTTGTGTTGACCAGCCGGCAGGAGAAACTGTCCTGATGTAAGGCTGCGTTCACACCGAACATGATTTCATCGTCAGGAGCAGCAGGTTTACATACAAAGTCTATGGTGGACGCGCTTCAATCA